CATGTGCACGTGAATGTGCATGTGTGTGTGTTTTGATTGACAGCTGCCACTGACCTGTGCCAGTCAGAGTGCCATACTGCGGGGCGGTGGGGTCGATCGCTACGGAGACGACCTTCGCCCTCATCTGCATCCTGCCTTCATTAGCAGAGCCAGGCAAGGAGAATAACAACCCAATAAATTAATAAAGAGAAAGAGGGGAGAGAGGAGGGGGGGGGGGGGAGCGGACAAGAGGAGAGTAGGAAGTGCAAGGGTATAACGGGAGGAGAGTGAGTGAAGGAAGGAAGCAGACTTGAGGAAAGGGCAGGGAAGGAGAGGTATGAGAGGAAAGAGCAACGCACTGAAGTATAGAGGTCTGGGAGGGAGGAGATGGAGGTAAAAGCTGCAAAAATAGAGTGTGTGTGTGGATGTGTGGGTGTGTGTGTGACTGCTAAGGGTGTGCGGTCAGCTCAGGTAGAAAAAAGCTAATGAATAAAAGGTATAGAGAGTGTGAGGAAGACAGGCAGAGAGAGTAAAAGGTACATAATTACTGAATTTATCTGTCGCATTAAAATCCAAAATGCAGATAAAAGATGGATCTGCAGTATATTGTGACAACGCAGCGGACCACAAGTCAACCAGATTTGTAAATTTACCCAAGAAGGACTGGAAACAGATTTTCCCCAAAATATCTCTGGGGCAGATTTAGAAATGTGGCTCAGAGCCCTGTTTAAACAGAGTATTGATACATTACCATCTGTACTGGCTCTTAAATGCCAGTATTGACAGAGATGCTCTAACTGGTCCACATGGCAGCATTTTGACAGGGCCAAATGTTCCAAATCCCCCCCCCCCCCCACCCCCCTCTTGTTCATCATTGGGATGACCACACAGCAAACGTGTTAATAAAGTATGAGGTTTAATCATCCACTACTGGATACATAGCCTTGCTGGTTTTGTTCAGAAGCAGACAGAGGTAGAGGAAAATACCTCTCAAATACCTCTACACTTGCTGTAAAAGACACACATACACCCACACACAGAGTACAGAGTCCAGGGGATGCTTGCCGCGTAAATAAATTATGAACAAGTATGTTACGCGGCATAGACTGTTGGTTGGGAGCTCTCCCAGGAGGACTCCAGTAATGATGCTTTCTCATCTTCCAGCAGAGTTGTATAGCATACACCATCTTCCATTATTCCATCTTCATCAGCATGATGGATGGAAATACAGCCTATCCTTAAGCCAGGAGCTCTGCATTTTAGATTTCTCAGAGATTTTCAACAACTGAACTGTGTATTTCAAACTTGTGCAATGCTCCTCACAGTCGAGCGGTGGTCCCAACTGATGTAACCTCACAGCCTTATCAGGTAAACAAGTACCCCCTGATCGACGTCAGCATTTCACCTGCATTTGAACTGGATGATATTTAACACTACTGATTATATAAAAGTGGATATTCTAACGGTAATATAACATGCAATTTAGCTGTAAACTGTTTGGCCATTTTGGTCATGTTTGCGTACTATTACAAGAGTGACAAAAGCGGGGCATTTCAACCATTTATCTATTACTTTTATTAACCCACACATTGTCTTGACCTCAAGATGAAACCTACACAAAGCTTCATACCAAATTGCAACTTCAAATGGCGATGATTTATTTAATTTTTGTGATAATTGATCTTAAAAGATACACTGAGATTTTTACTCCTTGTACTGTGGGCATGGCTGCAATTGCGACTAATAGTAGATTTAGATTTTCAAATGACGTTTACCTGGCTGCTGATAAATTCTCACACTGACCATCATAATGTCATACTGTAAAATATCTCCAACTCAACAGAGCTAAATTATAATGACATTTCAATGGACTAAATTATGTCCAACAACAAAAATCTGCTCAGATGACGAGGCTGTAATCTGAGAGCAACTGGCTTGCGTGGCAGACTATCAATTTCCATGTACTGTATAGGTGTGAGACCAATATACCACCTGAGTAGCAGCCCATATTCTGTTTGACTTCATACTTGCAGCGTGTATTATGCCGTCTAGTTTGCCTAATTTTCCAAGCTTTAGAAATAAAACCAGTCCACACCTTGCCACTCAGTCCAACTTCTGATTTTCACCAAACTAGAAATAATTCAGGGTCTTTGTCCTGTATTCTTACAAAGGTGTGTGCAGGTAATTGTATAAAGTATGAACATGCAGTCAGAGCATGGGATGAGACGTTTACAGAACTCCCTAAAGCATACATTGCTGCATCCTGCAAAACCACGCTCATCTGTGTGAAATACCAAGTTTTTGGGGAATCCCATGTCAACCATTTATCCATCACTTTTAGCTAATTCAACAATTTATACATCACTTTTAGCTGACTATTTTGACCATTTATACATCACTTTTAGCTTACTATTTTGACCATTTATACATCATTTTTAGCTAACTATTCCGACCATTTATACATCACTTTAGCTAACTATTTTGACCATTTATCCATCACTTTTAGCTAATTCAACAATTTATACATCACTTTTAGCTTACTATTTTGACCATTTATCCATCACTTTTAGCTAATTCAACAATTTATACATCACTTTTAGCTTACTATTCCAACCATTTATACATCACTTTAGCTAACTATTTTGACCATTTATACATCACTTTTAGCTGACTATTTTGACCATTTATACATCACTTTTAGCTAACTATTTTGACTATTTATACATCATTTTTTAACTATTTCAACGATTCATACGTCACTTTTAGCTTACTATTTTGACAATTCATACATCACTTTTAGCTTACTATTTTGACAATTCATACATCACTTTTAGCTTATTATTTTGACCATTTATACATCACTTTTAGCTTATTATTTTGACCATTTATACATCACTTTTAGCAAACTATTTCAACCATTTATACATCACTTTTAGCTAACTATTCTGACCATTTATACATCACTTTTAGCTAACTGTTTTCACCATTTATACATCACTTTTAGCTTACTATTTTGACAATTCATACATCATTTTAGCTTACTATTTTGACAATTCATACATCACTTTTAGCTTATTATTTTGACCATTTATACATCACTTTTAGCTAACTGTTTTCACCATTTATACATCACTTTTAGCTGACTATTTTGACCATTTATACATCACTTTTAGCTAACTATTTTGACCATTTATACATCACTTTTAGCTAACTGTTTTCACCATTTATACATCACTTTTAGCTTACTATTTTGACAATTCATACATCACTTTTAGCTAACTATTTTGACAATTTATACATCACTTTTAGCTTATTATTTTGACCATTTATACATCACTTTTAGCAAACTATTTCAACCATTCATACATCACTTTTAGCTGACTATTTTGACCATTTATACATCACTTTTAGCTAACTATTTTGACCATTTATACATCACTATTAGCTAACTATTTTGACCATTTATACATCATTTTTAACTAACTATTTCAACCATTCATACGTCACTTTTAGCTTACTATTTTGACAATTCATACATCACTTTTAGCTTACTATTTTGACAATTCATACATCACTTTTAGCTTATTATTTTGACCATTTATACATCACTTTTAGCTTATTATTTTGACCATTTATACATCACTTTTAGCAAACTATTTCAACCATTTATACATCATTTCTAGCTAACTATTTTGACCATTTATACAGCACTTTTAGCTAACTATTCTGACCATTTATACATCACTTTTAGCTTACTATTTTGACAATTCATACATCATTTTTAGCTTACTATTTTGACAATTCATACATCACTTTTAGCTTATTATTTTGACCATTTATACATCACTTTTAGCTAACTGTTTTCACCATTTATACATCACTTTTAGCTTACTATTTTGACAATTTATACATCACTTTTAGCTAACTATTTTGATTATTTATACATCACTTTTAGCTTACTATTTCGACCCTTATATATCACTTTTAGCTAACTATTTTGATTATTTATACATCACTTTTAGCTTACTATTTTGATCCTTTATACATCACTTTTAGCTGACTATTTCGACCATTCATACATCACTTTTAGCCAGCTATTTCGACCACTTATACATCACTTTTAGCAAACTATTTTGATTATTCATACATCACTTTTAGCTTACTATTTTGACCCTTTATACATCACTTTTAGCTGACTATTTTGACCATTCATACATCACTTTTAGCTAACTATTTTGATCATTTATACATCACTTTTAGCTTACTATTTTGACCCTTTATACATCACTTTTAGCTTACTATTTTGACCATTCATACATCACTTTTAGCTTACTATTTTGACCATTTATCCATCACCTTTAGCTTACTATTTCATACTATTTCAATCATCTAATACATTACTTTTAGCTACCTGTTTAGACTTTTCACGCATTCGTAATAGCAACTCTTTCTTTTCCAAAGTTCCCACTAGCAACTGCAGAAGTACCCCCTGAGGTACAAGCATGCCTGGTTGGGGATCACTGAATACAATAGCAACAACATCTAGGCCAGTTTCCTGACTGCCACTTGTGTTAGAAAAAGACTGTACAGATAGATCAGTTTGAAACATTGTGAGATGTTAACTGAGCCTATTACAGTCAAATCTAACTGAATTTGGGGAGGCAACAACATCAGCGCTCTCTGGAGCGACGTATAGCCTGCTATAAGCACCAAATAACAAATCACATCAAAAAAACTCATCTGTTAGGAAGACACAGGTAATGTGCCCAACCCTATTTTCTCTGTCTCTAACTGAGAAGTGCTGGCTGTTCAGGGTCGAGAAGTGTGAGTGCCGGGGAGCGGGGCCTGCTGTGCTGGGGAGGAAATTCTCAGGGCGATCGATGCGGAGGATTAGGGCCGGCTTTGGGGCTCAGAGGCCTGGATCTGAGCAGTATTCTCAGTGGGGCCCCTGGGAGAGCTAGAGAGGAAAGCTGGAGGAGAGAGAAGAGGAGGGCCAGGGGATAGAGGAGAGAGAGGCTAACCTGGAACTGTCAGGAGGCTGAGAGAGGGTTGGCCAGGCTGGGAATAGAGGAGCGGTCATGGTCCCAGTTGACATTATGAATGGCGCTGAGTCTCTGCCACCCACTCAGATAAACACACACTGGCCAGTCTGACTGGATAAGCTGCGGCGCAAAGAGGAGATTTAATGTAACAACAGAGAGAGAAAACAGACTGACAAACACAAATGAAGCTGGTTATTTCGTCTCCTTACACTCCATCTTTTAATTTTCTTCAGGCCAAATCGGTAGTTGTCTCCTAACTTGATGAGTGCAGCACACAACAATAGGCTCCCTCCGTCTGTGTGTCTGCCTCTGATGCTCATGATTGGTCAGCTCGTTCGCCAGCTCGCCGCTCTCCCCCGGGTACAGACGGTTGGATCCATGATTCATTTTGCAATGAGGAAAAAAAAGGAGAGAGCGCATGTGAGAGAAGAAACAGCCAAGACCACTGGGAAATTATACGGTGGAGCGGCGTGGTGGATCTGGAATTAAACGGCATAATTAATCAAGCAAAAAAACAAGCACGTTGCTCATACATTTATTATTTGCATTTTTTCCACTTCAGGAGATGTAATCAGCAGATATACGTTGGGGCCCCTGATCCATGTCACGGGGACCTGGAGGCCGAGCGTCCTATTCGACCACTGACCCTAAAAGCGTAAAGTGGGATCAGTTCTGCTCAAGGCTTGATTTTTTTTCCCACTGACTACCATCTCCACACAATGCCCTCTGCCTCCGAAGTAATCTCCACAACAAGCAGAACAAGTCCCACAGAATCATGTTGTTGTCTGCCCGTCCTTTAAATTGGGTGTCTGCAAAATTGGGTTCACAACTCTGGGCCCTCTGTGGAGTTGTTCTGCATTATGCAGTGTGTGCACTTGACCTGATGAAGAAAAAACTAGACAGTTTTAGAAAGATAGCGTGGAAATATCACAGCAATATGTTCCCATAGCGGTAAGAGGCTGACAAATGCATGTAAACACCCCACTTAACAACTTTAAAATAACTAAATCACCATTACAAGCATAGCTGCAAAGGTCACATTAGGTTGCGTGTCAAAAGCAGCACTTGCTAAAGTCATGCGCACTCCTGTTTGTCCATCATACTGTATCCTTATAACAGCTACTTTTTCTGATTTTGACATATGTGATTCTCAAGACAGGTCTCTGCTCAATAACAGCGCAGTTTCTTTAACACTGCACCTGCAATTTGGGCACAGATAATTTGACTTGTTTGAAACCCACTTTGAAAACTCATTTATCAGAGCAGTGATTGCTGGGTCTGTTTTGTACAGTCTTTTTTGCTGCTGACCAGCATGCAACCTATTACGACCTGATATTTGTAGGAGTTTCTGATAATAATTTAGTTACTTAAACGTCCTTTTTCATGTGGCATTTATGGGATTCTCCCTGGTCATTTTTGCTGTAATATTTTCAAGGTATATTTGCACAAAGTTCCTCACTGACTACATTTAGGAATCCAAAAGTTGTTGCCCCAATTTTCCAACATGAAGCACCTTTAAACCTTTTAAACCCCCCCAGCACCCGTAGTCACATGTTACAGATGTCCATCAGCTACAATATGAGCAAAGTGTTCGGTTCATTCCAGGTTAAAGACAAAAGGCGATCGAGCCTTTTCAGTTCTTGCTCCATTAGCTGACTCTGTTCACGTCTTTAAACCTCGTCTGACTTTTACAGAGTGGCCTTTCCTGACACTTGATAGACTTACTGTGTGTATGGGTGTGTATGCATTTGCAGCCATGTGCACATGCCTGCATACTTACAGGTATATATGTGTTTAAGTTGGTGAAGGCATATGCATATGCTTATGTTTTATTAGTATCACTTTTGTTCTGTATTTTCTTCTTCTTGGAAAGCTCTACAAATAATTATTATTCCTTTCTCAGATTGGTTGTAATGGTGTTTGGACTCCTGCAGATGGCAAAACTGTAGGAGAGATTTAAAAGTTAGCAAAAATAAGCATAATTTTGTGTGTTGCGTTTACTGTTTCCTACCTTGTTGAGCCTCTCATGACCCCTCAGATTGCTTCTGTGACACATCAGGGCGTCCTGTCTTCCAGGTTTGGAACAAATGACCTTAAAGATGAGGAGTCTATTTAGTAGAAACATTGCACGTACAGTTTATCTTTGCAAACTACCTATATAGCTTTCTAATTTTGATTTATTATTAGTTTTGTACCTGGTGATCAATTAAGTTAGGCTATCTGATCTTGTAATACAGGATGGTGAAGATGCCATAAAGCACAATGTCACACTGAGGTATTAATAGTGGTAATGTGTCCATTGCTTGTGATGGCTGTGAGAGTATAAAAGGTTGTTGTTATTGCAGGAATATTGATGTTTTTCCTCCCAGGATACAGAGCATCGCTGCGTTTACACGCTTCGCACATGCACTTCATCTTTCACCTAGATCTCCTGCGCCTCCGCCAGATGTACCTAACCCTCATTATGCCCATTATACATAAATACATCCGCCAAACAGTTTGAAACGTATCACTTTGCTGCTGGTCAATACGGCTTGTTCCTGGAGCGCCGTCATCAATCGAGCCATCAATATGGAAATATCACTGTGACCCAGACATTAATCAATGGGCTCCTCGGGGAGGAGAGGGAGGGCAGGGGCACCTAAAATCATCAATGAGACGGATCGGCCCGCAGTCAGGCTCGGACAGTCCGTATTGATAAGAGCATTTCCACCTGTAGCGGCCGGAGCGGAGAGACAGGCCGCATCTGAATTCAATACCCGCCGCCGCAGCTGCGAGCTCGAAGCCCAGAAAGACACGGTTGAGCGGAGATACGTGCCTCGACTCATCATAAGACTAGTCTCTTTCTCTCCATATATGTCCCCTTCCTCCTCCTCTCTGTCTACCTCACAACTTTTTTTTTTTTTTTTTGGTCATGCCTCGCACTAAAGAAGCACATCACGCCTCTAATACAGAGCAACAATGACTTCAAATTAACTTCTTTGTCTTTATTCCGAGGCTTACTTTGCCGAGCTCCCCTCCTCCTCCTCCTCCTCCTCCGACTCCTCACACAATCTCTGGAGTTTAGTCAAACCCTTTTTCCTCCACCAACTTCAAACTGTGAGAGGGGAAGTGTAGCTCGACATCAATGAGAAAAGTCTTCAGATGCTCGTCTCACGCATTCATCTCACTGTGAGCGCGGGATTAAAGCGTCGTCTCAATGTTGACATCCAAACCTTGACCCAATCAATTAGGTCCATGCTCGGCGTTTGCCTCCTTTACCCGGATACAGCAGAGCTATGGATGATGGGTAGTGTGGGACAAGTCAGCCTCCTAGTGGCGAGTTTGTGCACGCACAAGGAAAGGCAGCAAAATGCCTGTGAGGACGTTTTATAAAAGAAAATTGGGATTTTAGATAACTGTAAATTAGTTAAATGGATTATGGGCTGCTTTAACTTTGCAAAGTATCATCTTTGCATCAATCCTGGCATCCCTGACAGCCCTGAGTGCCTACATTGGCCCGTAAAGCAATGTTGACGATCCCCATATTTGACTTCCAATCAAATCCCACACCGCTCTCTCCCTCGTGACACTCCTTAAAGGTTAGAGTTCAAGGGTCATGTGTCCTGTGTGCACACGGGCCTGCCCTTTTCATTCCCAATCAGCTGCGCTCGCTTTTTTTTTCTTCCTGTGCCAGAATGGAGAGAGATGCACCACAAAGGTCATGGACATGGATTTCCTTTGGTTTGACTCAATGAAAAGGTCAGATGAGGGCACCATGAAATGGCAGTGAGGCCTTCACATCACCCTCACAGGGACCCGAGTCCTTACATCACCCTGAAAATGGCACAGGCGGAGCCCTTCTCGGGCCGCTCTCAGAAGAACTGGGAGGGCCCCGTGGGGTGCTGTGACCTCGCCTGGTGCCCCATGTGGCTTTAGTGGCCCTCCAACAGCGTGCAGAGACAGCAGAGCTACACACCGTGATACAATGATTGTCACAAGTTGAGTGCAACTAAACTTTTAGGAAGGTTTATAAATTAAAGTATGCACGTCTTCCTGTGACTGTAAATACTTGTATTTCTATTTAGGACACAGTAACACCTAGGGTGGATAGATAACTGTTCTTCACCTACTAGTCGTGTACACACTGTGTGTTTCGTTCCTCCACCCAAAAACTGCATCCTGGGCCGGCCCGCTGTATCTCTGTTTGGCATTTAGAGGAGCAGAGTGACCATTAATCGTAAGGTGTGTGACCGTCCACATGCCAAAGTGTCCTTGACAAAGACGTAGAGCCTGGCCTGCCATGATAATTATGTTATCCACTTATTGAAGTCAGTGAAAATGATCGAGGTCATGTCTATATATCTGATGTTGCCCTTGTGTTCACGTTTTGGTTTTTTTTAACATAAGAATGTCAGCAACATTTTAGCCAGCATGATGTCAGAATAAACAGCTGGGTTTTCCCGACCACTGTATGACTAAGTGCCTAAGCAGAATGAACAGAAAAAAACTGTTGAGTCATATAAAGCTGCCATTTCTGGTCAGACTTAAAGTTCATTGCTCTTTGTTATGTTACTTTTTATCATGACACGCCTATATAGACCCCCAGACTGCTCCTACTTAAAGCAGAAACATCTGTAAAATGGATGTCATGTATCTTAATCAGTGACTCAGCAGGAAGTTGAATATACGATGCAGACCTGCATGTGGCTGCTACATGTTTGCCATACGCAGGGACAGATTTCTGAGTTAGTTTGTCAAGCTAATTATCTTGGAATATAAAATCTAATACGTAATATTTCAAGTTAATTTCCAGACTAACATGCATACTGCTTATTCTGTCTTGTGTAATTCTACTTTTCAGCAGTTTAATTAAGCTATCTTTATAGTCTTTATAGGGAAATACTGGATAGTTTCACCTCTTCAGGTCTCTTAACTTTTGTTTAAGTTGTGTAGAATGCACCTGGTGAAGAAATCAAACTTTGTAAAGATATCAGGCAGTTTAAAAAGAGGTACGAAGACAGTATTTTCATAATGTACAGACACGATTAGAGGGATTGTAAAGCACACTCAGGGTGATACTGTTTCATATTTGTTTTGTACACGGGTAACACTGGTTATCAGGTATTAAAAACTGCAGTGAGGTAAATGTGTGGTTGATCGATGGTGAGGAGAGTGTATTTTTGTAACAGTTTGATTAGTGATGGATTAGTACAGTTTGGGATTGTGGGTAGGGCTAGACTTCCTGCTCCTTTTCGGACATGAAATGTAAATTTATGTTTCTCATTGTGAGTCTGTTCATGATTTATTGTTTGTCTCTGTTTTGTAGGATTTTTTCTACAATATATTCTATTCTATTTTTTCAAATGTTCAAAAATAAATAAATCAAATCAAATTGAAAGAGTAAACGAAGGAAGGCAAATCTCTCATTTTGGTAAAACTGGTCACAACCACTGATGAGGGGTTGCAAAAAGATGTCTTTTTTTCATGTTGTCACAAGCCAGAGAGGTTGGGAACCACAAGTGTGGACCATTTCTTGCCTAGAGCTGCCACGATTATTCAATTAGTTGTCAACCATAAGATTAATCGCCTTCTAATCTCATAATCGATCTGGTTTTTTTAGGGGGAAAAAAGGCAAAATTCTCTGATTTCAGCCTCTTAAATTTGAAGACTGTCTAATTTCTTTACCCCTTTATGACGGTTAACTGAAAATCTTTGGGTTGTAGACAAAACAAGACATTTGATGATGTCATCTTGGGTTTTGGGAAACACTGATCAACATTTGTCACCATTTTCTGACATTCTGTAGACAAACAACTGAATGATCAATCAAGAAAATAATTGCCAGACTAATCAAGAATCACACTAATAATATACCTTCATGCCTGTGCACAATTTTCTGACTTAAACAATAGATTTGGGAAATTTGGATGAGTGTTACCTCACAGGAAAAGTCATTAGTGCTAAGAATGCATTACACTAAATGCAGACTGTGTCCCAGGACGTTCACATTTTTTCTCAAACTTGATCAGGACATCCTCACCTGTTGCATGTGTCAATAATCACCCATGTGTAACAAAGAGACAAGAAGCAGAAGCTTTACAAGATTTGATTTATTAACTATGATACAGATCACATAAGGCCTTGCTGTATACACCATTCCCATTGAGACAAATTACCATACTCAGCAAATAATGACAGTTTTTTTGTTTGATGTTATCTTTTCACTTTACAGTACTTCATTTTTTTATTATTTTCTTTTCCCCCATTATTTCTTAATATTTTTTTTAATCATCTCTTAAATAGTGAGAGTGGTGGAGCCCTCTTCCTTGGTTGGGAAGAAATCATGCACTATACTGGGCTGGTCTCTCAATCGTTCACAAAGAAATTGTTAAAAAAAAAAAAAATGCTTTGTATTTTTTAATTATTAAAATAAAACATAAAAAGAAACTTTTTTTTTCTATCACCACTGACTAAAGGGCAAAGTGTTAGACCCCCTAACATACCAATAAACAACCATTTGAATATAGTTTTGCTTGTTTCTCATTTTAACTTAACAGACATCTGTCACCATTGTTGCAAAACAAAACAAAATAGAAAAATAAAAGCAATGCAGCCACATAATATCGCTGAACCAAAGTCACATTTTTAATTCAATTGTTCTTCTAAACTGTCACTTTGCTTCCCATCTCTCCCTCGACCCTTTTTTCCACAGTCTTTGGCTGCCTCACAGTCAGTTCAGTATTAACACATTGATATACACAGGCAACGCCACTGGCTGGCGTTCACACACAAGTACCAGTGGTCACCCCTCCTTCCTCCTTCCGTCTCCCAAATAATGATCCCATTCACCCGTTTGCTGTCTGTCTTCCCTCCCTCTTGCTCTCCCCAATCTCCCCCATCTCTCTCACACTTTCTCTGAGGATCAGTGTGTGTAATCTGGACGAGCTAACAGGGTTACACAGCGGGGTAATGACCGCAAGGAGAACTGCATTCCTCTCCTTCACGTTTATTTGGATCACGCTGGTGTCTGGCCGTCTGCCAAGCACAGCTTGCTAGCATGTTAGCTCAAACCCACCCACCCAAACACACACTCTTAATTCCTCTATCCTCTAATCACACGCACACACAAATACACCCACACACAAGGTAAATAGGTAGTGTAGACTTATAAAAGCTCCTTTAGGAGTTCAGTGATTGGTTAAAAGGTTTTTCTCTTTTTCCTTTTGGGCAGAGAGGACAGTCTGCGGAGACATGCAGAGAGGCAATTCAGTGTCAAACAGAATAAGTGACCTTGGCGAGCATCTGCTTAACATTAACACACATAGGTTCACATGCACACGCACTTTCTCAAGCTCTCTCTCTCACACACACACACACACACACACACACACACACACACTTCAAAAGCTGCTTCGATCAGGGCTCAGCAATTCTCCTCGAGCCCCATCTCGCTGGTTTCTACGGTAACAGCAGGCTGGGCCGAGGAATTCTGTGATGCTCCGTTCCAGTCATGCAGACGGATGAATGGACTGTCTGTTCTGTCTGCTGTCTCTCCCAGACCCAACTGTCTCTCTTGGACTAGGAATGACTAGGGGGATGTGGTGGCATAACAGTGACAGCGGGGGGAGTCTGGTGTAGTGGTTACACTCTTGCAAATTATATTTCAAGTCCACAGAGAGCAGGTTTGAGTCTCCTTTCTGGAGGCATGACGCTGTGTCCTAAGAGGACAGCGTGCTGAGGCGTGGAGCTGTGGTTACCAATTATTTCCAACAATAAAAAGCCTCTCCTCCCGCCTGTCAAAGCGAAAAGCCTCGCTTCCAGCTCTTACTCTCTGGCCTGTAATGCTACATTGTGCCTCAATCTCCTAAGTCTTCATTTCCTTCCACTCAAATATGGCGTCTGGGAAGCGGCATGTACTCCTTTGCAAAGGGCTGAGTGCTTTGGTGAAGTGGAAACTAACAACAAAAGACAGAGAGGCAATTTTATTCACTGCACGTCTAATCAACTGCAATGTAACCACATGTGGCTACAGAGCTTGAATCTATATAATCTCATTGATTTGTACCAGATTTAAAACTGCCGTCGTTTCTTATTTTTACACTCTTACATTTCATGAGCTCTAAAGTTAATTTTACCTGATATACAGTGATGAAAAATCATGACAATTGCACCTAGAAGAGAATCTGACGCTACAAAAACCACAGTAGGAAAATGGTGCTACGCCCATGCAGTAGTGGATGTGAGGTTATGGCTGCGATACCCATTTCTTCCTCTAGATGTCAGTGGTGTGCTCCCAGAGAGAGAGAGAGTAGGGCGGACTGACAATAAAGTGAACGGTGGCTGTCATGTCATGGCAGCTCCAATTTAAAATGTGCCTTCAAAGTGCTCAGAAAAGTGCTTTTTGAACAAGGTCCTCACTGTGGATAACTGCAGCACTGAACTCGCTCGTAAAAACCACCACAGCGTGAAAGAAGCGACATGACAGGTGAAGGTCCAACACTAGAATTATTCCCACTATCTGCCTAATGCAGGGAAATTCAGGTAAACCAAAAAGGCATGGATACATGCACACGCAGACAGATAGACAGTCACACAGACACTTACAGACAAGGCCACTCATTGAGCGATGGGCCCGGGTTTCTCTGTTTCCCAAGATTTTGTCAAATGAGGGACAGAATAAAAAAACGCATCGGGACAGTAGGAATCTCAATATAGAATCAAGATTTAGACCAATTACTGTGTTTACATGGACAGGGCATGAGGTTGAAGTTCAAACCCAGAGAGAGAGAACAAACAGGAGACTGGGAGGAGCCTTCCCAGAATGCAAAGCGATGTTCCCAAAATCCTTTGCTCCAATTTGCTGCCTAGAAGATCCGGTCGGTTGAGATTTTTTTTTTATTCTGTGCTTGGCATACTGCCTCAACTGAAACTGAATTTGTCTGCGTGTGTGTGGCTCTGTGAGGGGTTGATAGATAGGAATGCGTGTGTCGCGGAGGACAGAACATCCTGTCGGATGAGTGGTAACACGTGTTTCTTGCTTAAGTCCTCTGTACAGTGGCGAAATAAACAAACGTGTTCAGGACTTGCTCTCTGCTCCACTTTGTCCCAGCCACAGCCTCCCAGGTCAGTACAGTAGGTGGGTCGGATTGCAAAAAGACGGGCGCCGTCCACCAAATTTCCAAGCGCAGTTAGAGGCGAAGCGATTGAGGAGAATGGTTGTCGGAGGCACACCGGCCACTGGGTGTTTGTGTCAAGTGTGTGTCTGTTTGTGTGTGTGGTGAAGTAATCCCAACATAACAAGAGTTCACATTCTCCTTTCCACCTCACTTCCATTTCCCTCCCTGAGTCCCTTTGACAGTTACTGGCAACGTCTCACTCATTAGTGTGTTTGTGTGTAGGTTCTCTATAAGGCAAGGAGGGCAGGTCTAGATGAAGTGAGACTGAGAGACAAAGGGATAAAGTGGCGAGGAGGGGGAAAGATCATACTGCCAGTTCAGAGGCTCTTCAGTGTTCCCCTTTTCTTCCTTGTGTGTGTGTCCATTTTTCTAAAAGCAACAGAGGGTCAAACGCCCCTGTCTTCTCCCAAACGTGTAGGTTTCTCCCTGTACATACTGCATCTCACTCAATCTCTCCCGACTTCTCTTCCTACCTCCTGTTCTCGTTTCAATTTATCTTCAATTCCTTCCCAAACTTCAAAATCTCTTATTCTAAACCCTTAAATCTCTCTGAATCTCGTTATCAGTCTTTTTTTTTTTCCTCTTTCCCTTGATCCCTGGTTCACAGCGTGTGTTGTTCCGTAGGGGGGTGATGGGGGTGCAGCGAGGGCGGCAGCAGGGCTGGGATCGGGGACTGAGGAGTAGGAGGTGGAGAGTGGGGTGGGGACTGATGTTGATGGTGGTGGTGGTGGTGGTGTTGGTGGTGGATAGGAGGGCCGTAGTGTGGGATAACAGGAGGGGTGGCCGGGAGGACGTAGGGAGTCGGGGACGGAGTCGGTGAGGATGAGTAGCCTCCAGCCATGCAGGAGTAGGCCGAGGTTCCGCCCCCAGAGGAGAGCGTAGAGGTGGGGGAGCCGGGGAGGCCGTCGGCCAGAGGCTGATTGTAGAAGAAGTACGCGCACTGGTGGATGAAGCTCTCGATGATTGTCTGGTAGGTGCGGGTGGCAGTCAGGGCGTCCATGGTGGTGAAGTCTGGTCTCATGAGTGTGGGCCAGAAACAGATGGACAGGTTCTCACTGGTCATCAGGTTCAGCTTATTGTGCTGGCTCACCCTGCGAAACACAAAGAAACCAAAAGATGAAATTAATAAGTCACAAATCATAACCTAATTTTCAAAATAACATGTTATCAAAGGGATGCTTCAAATGATCAAAACCTGATGTTGTCCTCTTAATCTCTTGTGCTCCTAATGTGGCATAAATTCATACAGCAGGGGGCTCTTATTTTCTAAAATGTTCTTATATAGGTTAAGTATCTCTTTTTTTTTACATCAAGAAAAAAAAACTGTGGAAAAACAAGCTTAATTTTGTGCAACTTTTTTTTCCTATTCCTTTTATCATCTTGTGACCCCTCAGATTTATCTTGGGACCTCTTGGGAACCACTGATCTGTACTATAAGGTGTTTTCCCTTGGTAACTGCATACCGTCAAGGGCTTTCTTTCGGTTTGCATTTGCACCGCCAACAGAAACGCTGATGTAATGTATCAAAGATTCTTGTATTTCGCTTTGATGAGTCAAAATTGTGCTGTAAGGTAAATGCACTTTTAATATAGCACCTTTCTATTTTAGTCACGCATGTCACATTCACACTCACATTCACACACTACTGGTCGAGGCTACCACACAAGGTGCAGCCTGCTACTTAGCTAAAACACACTCTCACACACCAGTGGCACAGCCAAGAGCAATTTGGGGTTCGCTACTTTGCCCAAGGATACTTCGACATGCGGACTCGAGGAGGCCGGGGATCGAACCGCTGATCTTCCCCTCTACCTCCTGAGTCACAGTTGCCTGTGGGCTGTATTTCTCCTGATACATGTATGCTCAGTATGTCTGTTTTCTTTTATTTTTTTCTTTACAAGCTGTTGTTTGTGTTTTGTGTTGTCTGTTGTTTACACAGCTAACAGGTTTTTAAAAATGGTGGTTGCCAGTACAGCATTGGCTCATGTGTTTGACCAATCAGCATACACCTTGGTCACTCATAGTTCCTTTGTACTCTCAAATTGTGGCTAAAAAAAGGTCAATCAAAATGGCGGTCTAAAGACTTTGATTGTTCATAGTTCTTGCGAGCAAACATAATAAAAAGGGGCGTACTTAGTTCCTCTAGCCTGGAAACGACTGTACAGTATAGTATGAAATTAGGCACAGCAGTCATCCACATACAAATAGGGTTAAACAACCACTGCATTAACATGTATCATGACTCAACCTGAGTAAAACAACCTCTATTCTGTCAGTGAGCTAGCTTCGGTGATGTCACCGCTAGGTCACTTGACCGGGTGACCGGCAGTGTAGTCAGCACGGCTGTCAGAGGCAGACTCTGACCCCGTCACTCACTCACTTGTTCAAGTGGCTGATGACATATTTGAAGACCTCGTAATTCTCCTTGGGGAAGCGGCGCAGAATGTCCTTCATCGTCTGGAAGCGCTGCTCCCTATCGTTGATCTCTGAATGGTGGCAGAGAGACGAGAGAGAGGTTAGAGGAGTGAGGAAAGTGGCTGAAAGAAAAGATTAGGGGAATCTGAGGAAAAGATGTCAGGGGAGTGAGAGTTGAGATGAGGAGGGATGGGGAGGGAGGGGAGGGAGTACAATGGAGAAGAGGAGAGTTTGAAGAGCATAGTGAAAGCAATTGGACTCAGCTCTCAAAAAATCTGTGCAGGACACAGTGATTTCATCCTACAACAGTGCGAGTTTCACACATCGCAGTCATGAAAACACACACACATGATTCAAAGGGACTCCACACTACAGTTCTCAAAAAAAAAAAAAAAAAAAAAAAAAAAATCGGCCAACAAAGACCACACACATTCCAGGGGAGAAAAATACACCCATAACAATGTCCTACAGATTGCAGCAACTCACACACAAACACACACATACACTGGGTGTGTTAAGCCTGATGGCAGCAAGGAGTGAGTCAGAAAAGCTGACGTCACCAGCTAACACAGTCCATCCTGTGTGTGTGTGTGTGTGTGTGTGTGTGAGCGAGGCAGAGAGCAGCAGTGGGAACAGCAGATGTTCTCGTCCACATCACAAACATGATTTACAATCAGAGAATTTAAGTTTGTATTCCCACAATGAGGTCAGCGTGGATCAAAAACAGATTTGAGGCATAATGACTTAACACAGCCCCAGTTCCTCCTGCCGTACATCCATCATCTGTAATCAAAACTTAACTTCCTACAGCTTATTCAAAGTAACGTCACCATGACAATATGCGCTAAAATCCACACGCCCAGCTCTCTCTCTATCCCTCTTTTTCTCCACCTCTTAGTCTGGGTGACAGAACGACAGCTCAAATTCTGAAAATGCTGAGCACAATTTGCTATTTTCGACCGAATGAAGGCTTTCTTGTCTCTAAACTCCACCTCACTTTTCTGTTTTCACTCTCTCTTCCTCTATTGTGGCACAGACTGCAGGAGCTTTATCAGGTCTCTGTCACGGCTGAAGGGTCTCGCCGGGGCCGTTAAAAAAAAAAACCCCACACACACAGAGCTCGGTGAGTGACAGCAGCCTCACGGCCCGGGGGTAAATCTCTCTGGCGCGATGCAAGACTAAGCTATGCCTTAAATCTCCGTTCCGACAGATTACAGGACACAAAGAGAAAAAGAGAGGCCGTGGAGAGCGCCCTCGTTTATCTAACATATGACTGTTTTTTCATGACTTCATCCAGACCCCGTTATCCACATTGCTCCTGCATCCCTCCATCATGTGCAATCATCCCCACATCCTTCCTCTCCAAGCCTTAAATATTCTCTCCTCCATCCCTTTTTTCCTCCGTTCCCCATTTCCTCAACGAGTGGCAAATCCAATTCTCCCCATGGATGGATTTGGATTGCAAGAGTTTTGCTTGTTAGGTTAAAGAAAAGTTACAAAGAAGGGAAAAGGATTTAAGGCAAAATCCAATACACCTCGGGTTTTTGTGAAGGACTCTCCCCCACATCCCCGTGCCCCATGTGCCCTCACACCAGAGCCCCCGGACTTACTGAAGGCCTCCACCAGCTCTCCCTGCATGCTGTAGGGCACCAGAGGCTCAGGTAGCTCAGAGAAGAAGGCCTTCATGGCTCCGGCTACTGTGTTCATGGTGAAGTCTTTCTCCACCAGGTCCAGGTTGTGATCTGGAAAAATAATGACATGGAAAGAAGACATTTGAAGAACAAAACTCATCACAATTTACCATGCATACAGTAAATAAGAGAGGTGGCTGCTTTGGAAATGTTGGCTCACCACTGACTGGGCTGTGAAATCACATATAGCGTGAGACAATAAAACTGTCAGAGATTGTTCTATAGTGTTTATACCACTTTTTTTTTATTAAAGGTCCACCTAGGAATTTTTACACAAGCTGTAGTAGCTCTTTGGAACAATGCCATCAGAGAGCTGTACCAAGGTTAACACAAAGTTGAAAAGATGTCTCAAAATGCACCTGTTCTCCCTGCTGTAGACTTTTTATTTCATATTTTCTTTCCTTTTTGTGTTATATACCTTCGAGTACAATGAAAAGCTGATTTATTATTATTAGCAGCCCGTCATATTACTGAGCCAAAACTGCACACATTCAACAAGACAGCATGGTGGCTTGACAAATCAATGAACAGGAGTGTTTTATGGAAATAATGGACTTTTATATGAGTTTTGCATCAATGTGATTTAGTCTGTTATTAAAGTCTGGTATTAAATTTTCTGGATCAAAAACTGACATGCCCGTCTGGTTACTGATTTTCAGGAAAATGTACTAAGTCACGATGAGATATTACAATGTGAAATTACACTTGTGTGCGTACTTGGGTTTTTATACATATCGCTCACTTAAAATTCACTGTTGGTGGTTGTTTTGGGATTGTGCAGACAGCTTGTAGACAAGTCTGCACAAACAGGCCTGTTCAGTTCATCATTTAATCAATATGACTAAATAACAAACAGCCTCTTTGGTAATGTACCATAGGATCATTTTAGTTTACAAAGTGTTTCACTGCTGGAGAGATGGTCTTTTCATATAACTGGGCTGTCTATGCAGCAGAAAGACACAAACACTTTGTAAATTGGTGCTACATGACTAGAAAAAAAAAACAGAGGAAAATGGCTGTAGCATCCATGTTGCTTTTGCTCAACAGGTAGAAAACCTGCAACTACCAGAATGCACTGCCTGCATCGGCCCAATAAACACTCCCGCTGGTGGACTGCGGCCACCTGGTAAAAATAGTCTTGAATTACAGCCAAACAGTGCACTGAAATAAGGGTGTTCTCACATCTTAATGGACTCAAAGGGGTGACTCAGCATTTTTTGCGCATATGTGAACGCTCCAAGAGAACTCAGACCCCTCTAAAGCAAACCGAACTCAGACCACCGTTCGTTTCAAGTATGTGGTGCGGTTCACTTAATCTGTGTACTGTGAACGCAAAGTGCTCCAGGTTCGCTTTGCTCTTTGCCTTTGTATTTAGCCCTCTAGATCACATGCTATTGCACTGGGACAATTGGAAAAAACAGACAAAACCACATCAGTCTGCAACGCTTGAAAGGATGCAGGATGAGAAGTAGTTTGGTCCACTAAAGACACTGCACATCTCCAGATGTGGAATACAGAATACATCAAACGGCAACAGTCTACAGCACAGAAACGCTGAGGTTTTCCTCCAATTTTAAGTTCATCGAAGGGCTTCATAACTGAGAGAGAGTCCTCTTTCAAATGAACTGACAATGTGAACACAAAAAGAACCAAGTCAATTTTCTGTCGAGTTCAGTTCATTTAAAAAGGACTATATGTGAAAACATTTTAGATGAGAAATAGGCAAGACAGTTACAGAATCTTGGTTTATATTAGATCAGCACTATTTAGTTTTATTATTTGATCTCAGTTTTTCAGCCTCCATTTTCACAATACAGGTAACAGTATAGCGCCTGTTTCCTGTTCACAAATTCTCATATTACAGCCAAACAGTGAACTAAAATATGTTTCTGAAAACATTTTAGATGAGAAATAGGCAATACTTAAACAGAATCTTGGTTCATATTTGATCAGCACTGCCTAGTTTTACTGTTTAATCTGAGCTTGGTGTGAGTTTGAGGCAAGAAAAAGAGAGATCTACTTTTATACTCTTTACGTCTGTGGTGGCGGGCATATAAAAAGGCGGAAGTAAAATCTGTAGTCTGAGCCACAGCCCTAAAGCCAGTGCAAATCCGCAAAATGACACGTTTTATATAATTCCGCATATTTAAGTTGCAAGAGCAGCAGGGAGATCTGGGCGCTGGTTAGATGGAGGGAAGTTTACCACACTTCATTTACACATACTCCCCACACTGCTATGATACAAGGCTGGTTGAAAATCGGCAAAGTGTCCCTTTAATTAATGCCCTGAAATAAAAGTAGAATGATCCATGGACAACTATAAAGTCGATTTGAGTAGAGAGAGACAGCTCAGACAGCCAGACAGCAAAACCACTAGAGCACCACTTTAGTGTTTGTGTGTGTGTGTGTGTGTGTGAAAGAGAGAGAAAGAGAGAGAGACTTAATTAAAAAAAAGCCATTTTCTGATAACTTTTTTTACTTTACAGAGGTAGTATGTGTAGAAAGAAGAGAGGCAAGAAATAAGTTAATACAGATACGGTTAGTGAGTTCTTGAACAGTCTGAGGAGAGCTCCCATTTTGAGAGTTTCCAAAGTGTGGTGCTTCTGATGCTGCTTTCTGCTGTAATGAGTTCTCTGAATCTTCAGGGGCCTGATGAAGTGCCATCTTCAGTATGGCTATGAGACACCTACGCCATAGTTCCACCTGTAATTGTCTTGTCCCATTGGCCGGAGGCTCAGAATGATTCAACACGGGGCTTCAACTCTGATTACCAGAGTTGGATTTAACCTCAACCAGGCGTAGATGCAAGCGTACACACACTCATACACAGGCCATCTCGCTCTGCTATCTATCTTGGCAGCGACATGCTTCATTAACCAAACCAATCTGGAGGTAATTAACTGCCCACAGCAGACAGACACACACATGGAGAGACACACATTGAGAGCACTTGCACATGCACATATGTGAACATGCACATGCACGCAGGAGCAGGTAGAAGATTGAGGAGGCAGCTCTACAGTCTAAAAGGAAGCAAAGGCCAATTCCCTCTGTAGAATTAATGCTCCCTGGTTAATTAAGGGGATCCAGGCTTGTTGTAGATAGAAGCAGACGTGCACATGCACATCTCTGTGGCCTTTTCTTCACACCTAGCATGTAAGTGTACAGCTGAAGCAATAATAAGCACGTGTACACTTGTACGTGTGAGTGGTGCAAGCAGAAAGTCACATACCTTTGTCAAATTCCCGCTGCATGCTCTCCATCTCGGCCTTGTTCCCGCTGACCCTGTAGATGCCCTCTGTGCTCAACCCTGGTGAAGAGAGAGAGAAGCACGTTATTAGCTTTTCTTTTCGTGTTTAATTTGCAACAAGTATCAACTATTTATAGCAGCTAGTCAATCACCTCCAAGAACTCTTTGATACATCACGATGCGGAGAGAATAGATGCACTCTGAAAGGCTGAAAAAGTGGAGCTACTGCAGGCTGCTCTAATGGCTTCTCCCTGTGTCCCCTTCCATCTAGACACACTATTAGCACTATTTATTAAACCCATAAAGCACTCCTACTGGCCTGCTAAGAGCCCAATGGAGCACTGTGACAATTTGAGGCTACCTTAGAAGCCACACACTTAAAAATGGCTTGACTTGTACTGTGCCCTTCCTCTCACGCCTAACTTAATTTTTAGGATATTTGTTGAGGATTTGTTGCCTTTCTTCAGACACTGAACAGTCAGATTGCATCTCTGTTTACTGAGGTTTTGTGGCAAGTTTTTTAGTTCTTGTAATATCCGTTTTATTTTTCATGTCTATTAAGAGGTGTAAAATACATCCTATGACCAATAAAGCAAAGGGAACTGTCTTAAAATTTAACACCTGAAACATCAGTTGTTTTATCGAACACACACATAATGAGACCGCTGGCACTTTGGGAGGCTTTTAGACAATTTTGGTCAGTCTAATAGTTCAGACGACATAAACACTTTCATGGCAGCAATAAAGAACACTGCAGCAAATTAAAAGATGCATGTAAAGGTGACTTAACAAGAGCTCCCCATTTATCACTATAAAAAATACAAGACAAAAGAGCAGGAGAGTAACAGTCTGCTATTTTTCATCCACTTCTGCCTTCCTGTTTCTCTCGCCTCCTGCTTCAATATGCATTTTTCCAGACTTTAAATGGCTCGCAGCAGGTGCAGTCGAGTGCGATATGATTGAAGCAGCCAATTAAAGACTTATTAAGCAGGCCTGTTGGATTTTATTATCTGTTTACAGTAATAATCCACCCCATTATAATCTAATAATCTAATACAGTTGGCAGTTTCAAAGTTTTAACATCTAACAAAAATCTCCTACATTGATTTTTCATAACCACTGATCTTTTTGTTGAGCTGACAACCACTGACTAACCAAGCTCCTATTTCCTCACATGCTGTATAATTTTCATTTTACAGGGAATAAAAGCACAATAGCAATTTTAAAACTGCCTTCAAAATATTTCAAGCTCAGCAGCTGAAAACACTTGTGCAAAACATGTCCTACACAGGCCAGTGTCAGATCTTGTTTAGCATATCGTTTCACATATTAGTCTTTCTGAATAATCCCTGAATTAAACTGGGGTGACGCATAATATATTTTTATTTCACAAATGGTAAAAAAACAGTCACAAAAAAACTAGGGCTGCCCCCTGATAGTCGACTGCGGCTGTGGTTATTCCACAGGCTAGTTAATAACATGTTGGGCAGGAAATCCAAAGTGTGGGATCATTTTGAGAAGGTTAAGGACGAACCCAAGGTGATATGTAAACTCATCTTCATTGGTCGACTACAAACATGACATATCATCTGAAACATGGAAGTAGCTACATGCCCATTAGCCACTTAGCACAATCATTACTGCTTTGCAGACAGCATCATTAACAGGCAGCTCGCTCAGTGTGTGACGTGCACTTGTAGATAAAATATAGGCCTATATTAATGAAGGTTCATTAGTACGGTTTTGTATTTCTCTGTAATGTAGCACAGTGTTAACAATGTTACTGATACTATTCTTTCTCACACCTTCAACTCAAACCATTGTGTTGCCCCATTCAAAATATATAATTTAATAATTAAAATAATATCATAAACATGTGGGCAACTAGTCGACTAAAGGCCCTCAATGAAGACTATTGGTCGACTAGGAATATTCTTAGTCGGGTGCAGCCCCTTTTTGGAGCTGGACTATTAATTTGGAGCCCTGTTGCGATATATATATACAGTTTGGTAATTAAACGCAGCCTACTCTGAGCACAGATGGAGCAGCAGAACACCAGGCGCAAAGATAGTGAAACTTAATTGTTCATTAACTCATTTAAGATTGAACTGTTTACACCTTAAAACAACAGTGCTCTTATTTTGGTGTTGTCCATCACTTCTCCAAACCACTACTACTAAAAACCAGCTGTTACTGTGGAAACCGAGCACCCAGTGGCCCTGCACTGGCTCACAAACTTGCTTTCACTTGCCTCTGCAGCAGCAGATTCCAGGTTACAAAACAACAATACTGTAGAGTAACAGAATCCTTAACATTAAACGTAATGTTACATGAATTAAACTGAAAAACGTGTGTTGTAGCACTATGGAGAAATATCTGGCTGAGTCCTTCCTGAGTCATGTTTAGCCTTGGAGGATGAGTAAATATAACCTCAACTCTTGTTTTTTCCACAATACATCCATGTATGCAGACATGTAAGACACAAACAACCCAGTCAAAGCCGGACAATGGCAGAAAGAAAAGGTACTTAGATAGCTGCTGTGAGTGAGCGCTAACTTCATCTTCCTTCATTAATATTTTTTTCCAATTTATCTAAGATAAGTCTCCACCTCCCACCCTTTAAATTCTCACTTCGTTCCCACTTTGGTGGAGATTCGGGGAGACAAAGAGCAATCCAGAGGGAGTGAGGGAGATAGGGAGTGGCAGAACAGAGAGGGTGAGATAGAGAGAGGCAGGGAGGAAATGAGAGAGCTTTCAGTCACGGCATATACAGCATCGATCTCCTCCTTCTACCAATCAATTATCCACAAAAGCTTTTCTAGCCAGACACTAGGAAAACAGGGATGTGAGGAGAGATAGGGAGAGGGGAGCAGTGTAGCAGCAGTGGGGAGAGGGTGTGAGAGATAGGGGCAAAACAGGACAAGTATGAGAGAGATAGTGGGGAGGGGGAGTGTGAGGATGCACAGGAGTGAGGGTCAGGACTGATGAAACAGAGAATGAGAAAAAAATAAAGGGATTAAGATAAGGAGAGGATATATAGAGGGATAGGAAATGCTTTTGAAACAACAGAACACATCAAAGATGGAAGTTGCAGGAGGATGACAAGAATGGAAGAGGAGCCCAAAAGCATCGGGAGGGGAGGAGAGTCGGAGGATGAAGAAGGCGAATAGAAGGGTTTAACAGTGATAGCTTGGAAAGGTGGGCTCTCACAAACAGACAACAGCATCCTCTTCCTCTGGGGTCAAACAAAGCGCCAGCACTTCCTGGGGTCAATGTAAATATAAGCACTTCCTGTGGCAAACAAGTTTTTTTTGCATCTTCTAACAATGCCTTTTTAGTCCTGTTAGAAAATGCAACTTCCATTCATTTGAGCTATTATCAAACTATACTATTACATTATCAGCTTCAGGGTCTATACCCTCATCTATGGTGACTTCATAGCTTCCAACACACCTGAACCTGCAGTCACACAAAGTCTCAGATCAATGTACCTACAGTTAGCGACCATTCTCCTGCACCATGCTACCTACTGACAACACCCCAGCTGATCCCACATCAGCCCAGACCCCTGCAGCTGACTTCATAGTCCACCATGAAAACAGGCGGTGCCCTTTATGTCGCTATGGAGGCTCCTATGGCCAGCAGATATGCCCGCACACGCTAACACACATTCATCACCCCGGCACCCATGAGCGGAACACACCGCGGCTACCAACGCCGAGAGAAAGCCAGAGCCGAGGAGAGATAACGGCAGTCACAATGGATTGATTTTATATAGCTGCTTTTCTACAAGCTCTGAATGCACGAAAATAACACAAAATGCCACATCTACTCCTATTATTCTCAAGGACAAAGGGAGTGAAGCTGGGAAGCACAATTAAGAGAAGCAACAAAGAAATAAGATGTTTGAAAAGAAATATAAAAACAGAAAAACAAGTTTTTCTCTAGTGCCTTTGTGTATTGCCAAAATATGCCTCTGAAAACGTATAAAGACTAAGAAAAAGTTTTCTAGTTAATGAACAATTTGGCTTTGTCTATAGGTAAAAAAAATATGTTTTTACTACATACACCAAAGTCGTCATTCAGAGTATGAACACAGCCTGTAAGAGGATTATCAATGACATTTAAACAGATAAGAATAAAGGCAGAAAACACTGGGTTTGGCTTGGGAGTATTTTTGCTTCAAGAAGGAGGAAAGGGGAAGGATGTAGGTTAAAGCTGCAGGTCCAGGGTCAGCCTCACTACTTCACTCATCATGAGCTCACACTATAGAGACAAACATAGTGTCAGCACTGTATGGTAATTTCCCATGAGTGCCATTATAGCCACAGATTGCAGACGCAGATACAGGATAAGTAAAGTCTGACTTACAGCAACTACAATCGAAACTAAATGGCACATTGTAACTCATTTCCCCTCGCAGTCGCAGTAATTCTCTGTGTAGGTGTGCCATTCTGTACTGCATGTGTTAGTATGTAAACAAAGTGTTTCATCGCGCACACTCTTATTGGCTGTGACTGTGAGATGTGTGAAGCTACACTCCTCACACATGCATACACATATAAATAACACAGACGCAAGCTAAACACATGCAGAGAAGAGCTGAGCCCAAACATTCTTCCAATTTCCTACCTTGTGATATTGATCGGACGGAGGGAGCTATGGGGCAGAACATTACCTGGCAACCCCCCTGGCGAAAACACACCCGCCACACACACACACACATACACAATGCGTGCTGACAAGAGGAAGGAGAGAACGCAATGAAGGAGGGGGAGGAGGAGATGGAGGGGATAGCAGGGGGAGAAAAAACGCAGGGAATTGAGAGAGGTGACGATAGGACAGGGGAAGAAATAGAAATATGGGTTAGGAAGAAGATGAAAGAAATCAAATGTGACAAGTGAAGGTACTCAAGGAGACAGAGAGAGAGAGAGAGGAGGATGACTGGATCAGGAGGAGGAAGTAGAGAAACAAGGGCACAGGAGGAGAGGAGGAAACGGAGGATTAGGCAAGATACTAAAGTCAGTGAGTGGGGGTAAAAGGTGGAAAACATTCTCATGAGTCAGTCGATGTATACATAAACGCATATTCAACCACTTTTTTTCCGCCTTCATCCAGAACTAAGTGCCGTGACTGCTCCAGTTAACACCTGAACAGGGGGAGGTGAAATCTAGCATGATGCCTTATCTAGAGCTCTGCCCCTATACTCCTACACAGAGAAAGGCGGTGGATGTTTTGTGAAGCCGCAGTAATCCACAAATACAGAGTCTTTAATCAGGACAGAGATTACAGTGGAATGCACTGGCATGTCAGGAAGCAACAGCAGTGTTTTGACAAACACATGCAACTCATTTTACGGGAGGTAACGAAATGAGTGCACACTTTTATTGAACATTACTTAAATGTATGATTACGTTTCTTTGGTACTTAAGTAACTTGTATTATTGTCTGCATTTTTCTGGAAATTGGAGGGTGGATAGCAACTATGGGGAAGTTTACGTCACACAGTTTAGAACATTATTTTACATGATCCCAGTATTTTCAGCCCCAACATGTTTTGCAACCAGTTTAAATTAATTTATTAATAAATGAATACATAATTTAGTATTACTCTGCCACAGAGTTATTCCTGGCAGCATGGAGAGAGCGCTTTGAAACATCATTTGGACCTTTATGTCAAAAAATAAAACTGTAACACTTCATTTTACAGGTCTGTAATGTCTTGATACTTCTGTGGGAAGTTTCCTGTTAAGAAATACAGTATATAATCTGATACTAGGTATAGGAAGCGTAGCCTCTTTTTCTGAGACAGGTCTTTTTATTAGCTAGATATTAGTTGGTTGTGTTCAAATTTTCAAAGGGATTTCAGAGCGTGTATGGAGAAACTTATCTATCACAGTTGTCAGACAGGACTGCGTTGAATTCTTCAAGGTTTTTGGGGGCCTGCTTGTGAATCTTGAGAAAGTAATTTCACTTTCAAAACTTCAACAGTTAGTGTCCTCAGTTCCCAAACACTTGCTGGGTGTTGTTAAAAGAAAGGCGATGTAGCACGGTGGTAAACATGCCCCTGTCCCTGACCCTGTCCCTGTAGATATGCTGCAGGCTTTAAATTCAGCATGAGTGTATATTGTGTACTGTATTCAATTGAACAAAGGTCAGAAAGGATTGCATTCTGTCTATTTATTTCTTACACAGTGTTCGGGGTTGTATTAAAAAATGTTGAGGTGTTTGGTGGTAGAAAGGTGGCAGACTGACTCTTGACTTCAGTGTCTAAAATCCTGGTTACGGCCCAGCTAAGAGACATGTACAAATATCTATACATATGCATCGACCCTGAACTAAGTCGCCTCTGGTTTAGTAGTAACAGCTGGTGGCAGACTGAGAGACAAGCTGGCAGTCCTGGGGCAATGGGGCACCAGAAGAGCCTGGCAGGGGGTTTGGCATCTGGGCAAAAGGGTAGCAAGGTTAGGAGAGGCTATCCAACCACATCTGTGCTCCCAGTGCTTCCAGGGAGGAGACAGGAGGAGGTACGGGTGTGTGTGCGTGTGTGTGTGTGTGTGTGTGTATGACTGGTGGCAACAGTTTGAAAACCTGTTTCTCTAATCTACACAACAAATTCAAGGTTAATCAAAGCAGATGAAAGTATTTTAGTTAAAACACATGGAGCCATTCTGATATTATGCTCCGTGACAAACCTAGTCGCTGCTTAAATTCCCCCTTGGCTTTTCGCATCAGCATCACTGGCCTGAATGAGACTCTGATGACTCATTTTTAAGTTAACACTATGACCGTAACCACTGGAAACAGAAGCCAGCATGATCTGCTTGGTCTTTTTACTTGAGTCAGTTCAGGAGTTGCCACACAAACCCTTGGTAACAATATTTCTATAATAATCACACACAAACAATGAACCTGCTTCACCCGTGAGTCTTATCACACCTCATTTTTGCTTTTTTTATGACACAACTGTTTCGGCTATCAAAAAAAGTAAGTTAACACCCCAACCTGGTTCACATCCCTGGAGGTGCATACCTATAAAGCCTACAGCTCAACAAAGCTGTACCATTTATCAAACCTGAACAAAGAGTAAGGGAGACACAAAGGAAAGCACGGACACACATGCACATAGACACAAAGGCTGTGTGTGATTTGAGGAGGACCGCAGAATCACACACTTAGCAACGAAGACCACAGTACAAAACAATCCCACCGGGGAGGAGGATTAAGATAACAGAAAAAAATATAGGGGAATAAAAAAAGACAGCTCAAAGGAGACAGGTATAGTGTATGCAGAGGCAGATGGATCCTTTGAAATAATTTAAAAAAAAAAAGGTAATACTTAAATAACTGAAAATAACAGCCTATTTTGTGTCCAAATTGATGCCATTAAGTGTCTGTGCTCCTTATTATGTAAAGTAAAACAGATTCTTACCTGTTGTTTCAATGAAACGAATGCACTTCTCGATGAAGATGGGGATCGGCCGCTCAGGAGTGACGACGGTGGACAGTGGCATACCAAAGTAGTTGCTCTCGATGGGCTTCGAGATGGAATGCCTGGGTTTGGGTCGTGGTTTCTGGAAGTAAATTGCAAAGAAAGAGCAGATTACTCCGAGGATTCCGAGAAGAAATTCAACATTATTTGAGGCTGACTGGCATCGACACTGCTGACACAGGCACACATTTCCAAAATGACACCGAGCCTTGGGGCATTGTTCTAGAAATGACTTGATTTAAATGGAAAAGACCGTGACATTATTTTAAAGTGACTGTTTTTATGTTTGTACCTAGCTGAGCAAGAAGACACGCACACACACCGTTCCCGCACATTCCTTCAAACCTTAACCTGATAAGTCATCAAACATTCCTGCCTGTTTTGTGCATAAATGAGATATACATCAGCTCGTCACTCTGGTCCCTTCATCCTTGCCCTCCTTCCTTCGACATTCTCTGCTTCCCTTTCTCTCTCTCTCTACTGCACTGCAGCTCTCACATAATCAAACTCTCTTATTCATTGTTTAATTACTTTCTAACTCCTGTTATTCTCCTGTTAAGAGACCTCTAATGCACTCCTGCAACATTTGCTGCCTGCCTCCGTATGGCTGTGGCATCAGCAGTAATTGTACTGTGCTTTAATGGTGTTCAGTGGGAATGTTTTGAAGGCCCCCAAGGCCTGGATCTCTAGTAAGTCTGTCAGCCCCCTGAGGCTCTGCCCTGGCAGGCTGGGTGGTGAGGCAGGGATGCATGGTTGGCTGGGCACACAGACTGTGGGAGCAATGCAGGCCTGACAGACAGACACAGGAAAGGAGCAGAGGAGTGCTCATTAGAGAGAAGGAGCCCGGCGTGCCCTCTGCTCCAGACACTGGCCTCACCGCACTCCACCAAACATTTTCGATAGCATGTATATACACACTAACTCACAGCAGTACTCAAGGAAACAAGCGGGGAAACACTAATTAAGACGGAGCAGATCAACACAAGCTCACCTGGACGTTTCTCTGCACTGCATGTTTGAGCAGTTAAGTGAATTTATTCTGTTGTAAATCTATGTTATCTTTCAGCTGGCTTTCATTACCACCTCAAAGAGCCTGACCGACAAATGAGCAGGCACATATCATGGGCTAATATGTGGTTATTACAGACACATTCATATCAGTGTGTTGGGAGACACCTAAGCGAGATGGAAAGGTAAACTGCAGCTATACGTGCTTTGTTGGTGGCTTTCTTATGGACATTTTATCTTTAACTTTTCTCATCTTGCTTTCTATTAAAATTAAAAATGGCTTTTATTTCAGAGGTCTAGTGTGTAGGATTTAGTGGCACCTAGCTGTGAGGTTGCATGACTGAAACTTCTCCTGTGTGCCGCATGTGTACACAAATGACCCTATCTAGAGCCAGTGTTTGGTTTGTCCATTCTGGGCTAATGTAGAAACAACATGGCTGACACTGTGGTAGAGGACCCGCTCTGTATGTAGATATAAATGGCTCATTCTAAGGCAACAAAAACATGAGACTTCTTTTCAGGTGATTATAAACTACTGAAAACATAGTAATGAATATTATATTCATTTCATACAAATAGATGCCTCCATAATCCTGCACACTGGACCTTTAATGATGTTAACCATTTAATAATTACTGTTGTTAACATGCCTTTTTCACAAGAATGTTTGTGTAAAAGAAGAATACTGGTCAATATATTGTTATATTTTTGTCAAGTATCGATATCAATATTGGCCTCACAGATCCAGTATCATCCAGGCTCTTCTACCTGGGGGTGTTTTCCTATGATAAACTGCATAAAAAGGGCACTGTCGCTACTTCACCAGTCAACTGGGTGCTTAAAGTGTCGGGAAAACAAAATGTCAAAGATAACTCGATAACACCGACTGGCTCACTAGAAGAGTCTGCACTTCATTCAGCGAGGCCCCTGAGATGCCGATGGAAGCTCTGTGTTGAAACACATCTAGGTTCAATAACTGCAGACTTTCCCAGCAAATCGGTAACTGCTGCCCAGTTATCTTTCTATTATGAGCCCCGCATGAGCCGAATCCTGACTGGAATTCCTTCACTTATCACTTGCTGCTAACTCCCCCGCCGCCCTGCCCGATCCTCCTGTGATGCTCGACGTACAAAACGTACATGTGAAGTGTGTACTCACACATGCACAAAACACCCACACGGGGGTTTAGTTGAATTAAAGTGGTAGTAATGTGACGCTACAAGACAACAGCCTCCATGGTGGTGAAGAGCTAGACTGCCAGCTTGGTTTTAAGCTCCAAGTAGCAGCTCATAATTTATTTGTGTCCTATCACACTGACTGTGTTGTATATCTATGCCCTATCTCACTTTAGCAGACTGTCTCTATACTCCCCCACCCCCCCGCGCCTTCTCTCTTCCACCCACTTTTCTCTCTCACTGTCTTCTCCCCCTGCAGTTTTGCCTTCTGGCCACTCCTTTTAGTTGCTGACTGAGACAGGATATGTTGCCAGCGCTGAGAAGACAAAACAGACCTCTACCACAAAAGACAAACAAAACACATCCTTAATAATAACATACAGACACCATGGTGAGCGTTTACATACACAGCGCGCTGTAGGATGCTGAAACACAAAGCTGCAATGCAAAAAAAAAAAAAAAAACCCAGTTCTATCACAACTCTTATTTTTTCTCCGGCTCCATTTCATTTTCTTTCTGTGGTTGTGTTTTCTCTGTCTCTTTTGATTGTCTCCCTCCCTCTTATTTCTCGCACAGAGGACACTAGACTGGAACTAGGTGACTGAGGAATTTGAAGCATTCCTCTTGCTGGCTGAGGAGGTTTGAAAAAAGCTGCAGGAGAGAGAGAGAGGAAATGTTTCCGGCCTCTCGCTGAGGGAGGGCAGGCGGGACAGACACACAGTTGGTCATTGCCTGAGGTAAAGGGGCTTTTAAAACAGGCTCAGAGTCTAGTTTTAATTATTTGTTCCTACTCGTCATGACTCAAGAGTGGTAGACAGTTCCCTAAGGCTGTGACTAGGAAAGTGTTTACACTGCATAAACCCACATCTTCACCCTAAAACTAAAAGTCTGACTGGTTGTCAACCCTGAAAAGCCACTAACAGGAGCGTCTGGTCCCGCACCAAGTCACTGCTGCAGTACGCCTCCATGAGATGACCACATAACTCAATAACATGCCAGTTACCCTGAGGGGGTTTCAGGCTGCAGCAGATTGAAAATGGACTCTTATCTTTCAGACAGCTGCTTAGAAAACAGGTGATGGAACTTGAGCACATTGTTACAACCACAATTAAGCAATAATGGCCTTAATGCGGATATCCAGATCCCAGACCTGCTGTAGGGCACAAATCAGAGGCACTAATTAGAGCAACGGTGATGACACCTATCTAAGTTCTGCTGGCTTCAATTTTCTTGGGGGTTTGTTTTGAAACTCGGCTAATAATGTGTCATGTGATACATTATTGATCCCTCGCTGCCCTTAAAGGACTGGGTCAGAGCACAGGGTCAGGTGGAAGTCAGAGCTACTGGAGCTTACTTGCTAACACGGGACCTAAACTGTGCTTTCCAATTCATTGGCAATCTGTCCTTGCACATTTTTTCAGAAGGACAAATGACACTGAGTACACTTTGTGCTAAGTTGGTTAGTGCCTGAAGGAAAGAACGTGGTAAAGGCAGTTAGTTATGTGAGAGGACAGCCTTCACGCAGGTACTTGGACATCACAGCTGAGTGTGTGAAAACATTAATCATCCCCCTCCTGTTCCACCCTTCTGACAGTCATGGTAATTATCACAGTCGCTCAACATACACAGCTGTAACTCCTGTTCAGCTGACACTTCTGTACCACGCCATGTGTGTGAATTAACAGCATACCTAAATGATAAGCCTAACAGGGTAAGGTCAAAACTATCGTCACAACACGTGTGAGAGACAAGCACGGCAACGAACAGGAGAGGGGCAGACAGAGGCTAAGAGGATAAAGAGATATGAGGAGAACATAACGGAGGGAGAGAGAAAGACTGTGACAGGAATGTGAGAGGCAGAAAGTATGAATCAGCAAGAAGAGAAGACAAACACTGTGAATATGAGAGAATGAAAGGAAGGAAGCAAAGAAAGCCAAGCTGACAGGGAAAGATTTGGAGTCTTAGGAACAAGCTGACCAGTCTTGGCACATGCTTCACTGCAGCACCACAACAGTCAACAGTAAACAACGCTGCCTTAACGAGATGATGCTGATGTCAATCACTGGATCACTAACGGCAAAGGCACCGCACCCGCTGGCAACCAGGTTGTAAACATTGCTTAGCCATACTACAAGCAAGGCAGAAAGCAAGGTGACTGCATAATCAGGTTTTGTAAATGATAATTAAGGAGTGACGGACTCCTGTGCAGAAATTTTCTCACCTTTTTTTCTCTTGTTAATACTATTGTTTCCTGAGCAGCAGGGGTGTTACACTTAATTTTCTCAGATATAACATTAGCTTTAATTTCTCTTCATGTACCACTAGAGCGAGAACTGTGAGATGGATGTTGATGCTTTTAAAATCTTGCTATAAAAAATGTCAAACATCATTATGCCGGCTTTTATATAATGGGAGGCCTGATGCAGCCAAGCAGACATACACATGAGCACAGACAGATAAAATAGCACAGTGTATACTGTGGCTCTGTCCCTATTCATTAAGGCTTTCTGCCTTCTGGTATAGAAGTTCAGTGACTGGAGTTTGTCTCTTTTTCCTCTGATTATCTGGCTAGTTTATGGAGCTCTCACAAAGCAGTCAGGGGAAAAAAATAGCAGACATGTTTTTCGAGGAACTCCTACAGCGTGCCATGTTTGCTAAACTGCAGAGAGCAGAGAGATTATACTGAACTCATTAGTGATTCCACAACTTAAATGATTACACAGTTATACACAAAAGCAAAGGTGTTCAATCTAAGCCATAAACAAATGCCTGTCCCTAACAAACATCTGTCCATAAACAAATAAATGTGCTTATATACTTCAGACAAAGCTTTTTGACTGCACAACATCCTGAGTCACCCATTACTTACAATTTACAGTAAGTGTTTTGCTCAAAAATTAAATTTCCACTCATTAAACAAGTGGCACTTCCCCTGTCAAAATACTTACAAGGGTACGACACTTTTTAGTTAGGAGGTTATTTTAAGCCTTGGTTAAGAAAACTCTCAATATTTCAAGATGACTGAAGTGATTAATTTGGGCAGTGTTCCAAAATAAATATGCATCATTTTGGAATAACACTGCTGTGTTTGTGAATAGCTGAATCAACTAATTAAAAGTAAGTGTTTTTAATTTAAATAAAACTTAATTTAAGATTTAACCCTTCTTTAGTCTTTTCACAGAGTGCAGACATATTTGAATATTTAACCCATACATCACTCATATCTCACAAAAACAGAGGATGCAACAGCACTAACCTTTGCATTTCTGCGCAGGCTCTTCAGAATATTTCTCCTTTTGGGGTCTTCACTCTCTTCGATGGAGTTGTCTTTCTGGGCTCCTCCGTCATCCTGGCTAGCCTTGGGTGGACCGCCCATCTCATCATCACTGCCTATTGAGAAGCTCGTCCTGAAACTGCTGAACTTGCCAAGCCGTTTGGATCGGTCTCTGTAAAGCTTGGGCTTTACCCCGATGGCGGACAACTTTCTCCTGCGCTCCAGTGAGCTGCTATCAGCCTCACTGTCTGAGCCATTCCCCCCAGCACTCCCGTTGGAGTGACCCTTGTTTGCGTTGCGGATGGTGATAATCTTGCCCTGTGTGCTGTCATGAGGGACAGAGTAGATATTCTCCTCCTCTGTGGGTCGAGGTTTGCTCACAGCATCCATGGGCTCTGCGTAGTCTGAGGGGTCATAGCCACCATCGCTACCTGGAGCCCAGGTGACAGCTTGGGGCAAGGAGCGGCGGTTGGTGCCACCCTGCTGGTCCATGTAGGGGCCGAGGTTAACCTTACGGACAGGCTTGGGCTTCACTTGTGGAGGAACCTTGTTGTTCAGCTTGCTCTCAAAGGTGCTAAGCTCAGAAATGACAGAAAAGGTATCACTTGAATCCAGATCTGGCAGCTTGAAGGTTCCCAGGTGGGAACTGAGACTGCCATCCTCCCTCAAGGTAGGGTAAGGTGGTGATGGTTCGATATCATCCTCTGAGTCCATGAGAATGTTAACTGGACTAGGAGAGCCACAGCGAGGGCTGATGCTCTCATTGGTACATGCCTCTGCCACATTGTCATACATGTGTGTAGCCTCAACAATAGTGCGCTTCTCTACCGCCTCCTTGAAGAAGGACTGGAAAAGGTCTATCTTATGAAGGCCCCCCACTACCCCACCATGTCCACATATTACTGTGTTAAACCTGGCCTCTATTTCATGGGCCAGTTCCTCTCCCTGACTGACCTGCTCCTTAGCTGACTCTGAGTCCGATAGCTCCATCTGGCTCTCCCCTACTGCTAGCAACTGGACTGGGATGATATCTTGGACCTCACACAGAAAAGCACATAATGTCTCCATAGAGGCCTTGCGGCGAGCAGAGTAAACTGCAATGTAGCCATGGACGAGCTTGGTCTTGCGGAGCGAGAATGAGGAATGAAAGGAGAGCAGTGACAGCTCAATATTCTGCCTCTGACCTCCTATACTGAGATCCAGCAAAACGGAGGTGCCACTGCTGAGGCTGGAGGCAGGACGACAATGCTGGGGTAACAGGAAGGGAGCAAGGAGCTGGTCTATGTCATATGTGTCACCACACATCAGGCACATGACTATCCTCAGGTCTGCCTCTAGCATCGGCTGGGACTGAGAGTCTCTGAAAGCAGAGGATGGAGGGGGTAAAGGAGGGGAGCTGCTTCCCACACTCCTCCTTGATTCTAAGAGGCCCTTGAGCATCTGGTTGATCTGCCTCTCATTGACGTTGCGACCGTATCCCATGCCTGGAGAGGCAGGGTCTAGGTAGGCACACTGCAACTTTCCAGCCACCTGCTGCCCTTGTTGGATAAGAGTCTGAGCTGTCTCCCCTCCAATGTCTCCAATGGACCCCACCCCCCGCTTGGTGACCAGAAGGAGGGACAGCGGGAGTTGGGCTAAGCTGTTTTCCCTTTCCCTTCTGCTTATAGTTGATTCCCTAAGCTTCTCTAAACTCTCGACAACATAAGAGAGGGATTCCTTTGAGTTGTACAAACACAGGCAACCATGGGGTGTAAAGGTTGGCGTGTGGAATGAATTGACTGGCAGACGTACATTGCCCTCTATTGGACGAAGGGCTAACTCATACATCTTGCCATCTAACACGTACCGGTCGTCACTGGTGCACAAGGCCCTTATCTCATTTGCCATTTCTCTGGCTAGCCCATCTTTCCCTAAGATGACAAGATTTATCCTTTCAGCCCTCCCCAAATCCAGTCTTGAACTATCTGATGATGGGTAGCGGGTAGGGAATCTAGAGGCCAGGATCTGCTCTATCTTACTGTCCACACAGTGGGGGCTGTTGGGACAGGTGTCCTTTGTAGGATGGTACACAAAGTGGATATGTTTCAACACCAGAGCATCCCTTTCTGCCTGCAGCTTCTGTAGGGCTTTAAACCTTTGTTCCTCTCCCAACACCTCCTGAATGGCTCCCATTTTCTCTTTACTTGGCTTTGCATCCACTTCCAGCTCGTAAAAGAGCTCAGAGTATTCAAGAAGCAGCTCCTGAAAGTCCTCTTTGGCTCGGTCAATGATTTCCTTCTGGTGTTTGTTGTAGATATCCAGATATTCAGCCTCATCCAGCCACTGGTAGAAGTCTTCATTCATGATGAAGCTTCGGGCCTCCTCCCACGGTTTCCCTGGTGTGATGAAAGGAGAGACACTTAGCTTCTCCTTGAACTCCCATCTCATCTCAGCCCGTTTGCGCTCATTCCTTAGCTGCTCCAGGTGGGTCTCATAGATAGATTCAGCTGCGGGGGTCTCCAGGAGGTCTTGGGGAATTCGATCATCCTCCATGTTATCAATGTGTGGTGTGGTCTCCCAAGGGGTGTCATCTAGCACTACAAACCACTGGGAGAAATCTCTCTTTGTCTCCAGGACTTTCTGAACCCCAGACCAGCTCAGGTGGTCTATCTCATCCAACTCTGGTAACAGTACTGACAAGGCCTGTGGTAGAGTACTTAGATAGACCTTCCTACGTTTCTCTATATGTTCTTGTTTAAGTCTATGCACATGCTGCTGGAAGAGCTTCTTGGCTTTAGCTGTCCCCTCAAGGAAAACATAGTCCTTGTACTCAGGGGCAGACTGCATGCGGCGACTGACAGTGGGCCATGTCTCATTGTGATTCTTCACAATTCGGTTGACCAGCCACTCATAGCGGTCTTTGGCTGAGGCAATCTGTTGACTCTGCTGTTTCAGTGCCTCAAAGTAAGGGATGATCTTGGGCTTTCCCCTACTCTTGTCTATTAGCTGAACCAGTGTAAGAAAGGCTAGATCAACGTTGACATTAGAGCGTGCTGATGTTTCTACCACCTGTAGGTTCTTCTTGGCTAGGGCAAAAGTGTGCGAGTCTTTAATATAGCGCTCAACTCCTTCATCACATTTGGTGAGAACCAGTACCACAGGTTTCTTAGTTTTGGCTAGCTGGTTGTACAGGTTGGTAACAAACTTCATCTGGTCCTCAAAGCTCCGGTTCATACCCCTGCTAACATCCACACAGAGTAAGAAGCCATCCACCACAAGCTTGCCTTCAGGCATCTGCTTCTGCTCAAAGTCCTGCTCCAGTCCCAGCTGGTCTGTGCAAAAGTACATCAGCTTCTCAGCCGAAGCCAGTTTGGTGGAAGCCGCTCTCTTAATGTACGGCTGGAGCGCCGTGCTTCTGTGTGGCTGGAACGTCTGATCATCAATGAACTCCGTCTGCTCCACCACATTCATACGGCATTCAGGCCCCTCCTCCAGCATTCGCCCGGCCTCTCCCCAGAACAGGAAGTGATCATTGTTCACCACACGGCCTCCAAAGTCACTGGTGCTGAGAACGGAGGTGTGGTCTAGATGGAAGTCATCTGCACTTGGCCGGACAAAGCGGTTACACAGGCAAGACTTGCCCACACCACACTGGCCTTTCTCCTTCTCCGTGCCGGACAGCCCAACCACGACCAGGTTGTAGGTGGGTGCCCGGACATCTTGCTTTTTGGCCATCATCATCGCTGGCAGAGGCTCATCCTGCCATGCTGGCCACTAGCTCTAGGGAGAGGAGAAGGCTGCCAGGAAAGGAGGGTTTCCATGCAAGAGGAGCTCACTGCGCTGGGGTTTGGTCCTGCATGATAGAGAGAGACAGAGAGAGAATGGGAGATATAATTAATCTAGAGACATACAGAAACATACATTCCAATGACAGGCTTTAGTATTAGAAAGCTATTGTGTCTCATCTAAATTCTTACAGTGTGCCTATGTACTGTTGATAATGTTTAATCTGTGATCCTATTTCTCCACTGAGTGTTTCCTGAAAAGATTGAGGTCAGTGGCAAAGCTGCTGGAATGCTGCACATTACTTAACCCAGCTGTAGCTCAGTAAAAGGCAATTTTTCCCCATTTAACTCGTTTAATTTTTATACTGCCAGGACTTCACAGCTAACAGTGGTGCCTTCCACATTTCCTTCCTATGTTCGTTGAGTCTCAGTATGTGTTTTGGCTTATTATCCCAACATCTAACACTATGGTTGGTCGTCTCACTGCCAGCAGCAGTAGAATAAAGTTATGTGGGGTTTTCACTATCGCAGAAAACAGACACATGAACGTGCACACAAACACACGCACCACCACACACTTGTGAAAACAGGCACACTAAGCTCCCTGCACCCCAAATGAAAGACACACACAAGAAGATGAAAGCAGATAAGCGTTCCAGAGCTAAAGTTACTAATTGGCCAACTAGGGAAAGCCATCTGCATTTTAAAAGGCTGCATTGCCTGTTGGCTGACTCATCTCCATCAAAAACATGTTTTCCTATGTTTCTCACTATACAGCACTCTGCAAACAGATCAGAGTTGGCTGGTGTACCATCACTAATGTCTCAACATATTTACCTACAGTACAGGCAACAAACTGGTGCCGTGCTGTCGAGAAATAGCACATACAAACACATATAGAGGCTTAGTTGGCTGGCCAATCTCTGTATCATTTATTCCATTAGTAGATCCGACCTAAAAATAACGAGGGAGAGGATGAGAGATGGGGGATGCTCTTTGTGGAATGGCCCTCTTTGACAGCATAATTTGCGAGGAACAAAAATCTTCCAAGACAGCTAGCACACAGACTTGCAGTATGAGACCATCCCCTCCATGTCATAACTGAGGCGTTAATGTAGTAAAACAGACATTAAAACCACTATTAAACATGAATAGCTCTTTTGACAGAGAGCACAAAAGCAGACAAAGCCTTCGTTGCTGCTGAATTGAATTTGTCAGACAACAGAGAACTGTGGATGCGCAAAGATGAACTTCAAAGCCCAACATTGCCCACCAGAGGGGGAGACAATAAAAAGGAAATGGTAGGAGGAGTAAGAAACTCACTACAGTGGAACACACTGTAGATAAAAAAACAGCTTCACACCTGCCTTGTATCGACTACTGCATATACTGTACATTTCCGAGTTTTACTTGAAAGCTGAGTGCCACTAATCGAAGTTCAAAGCTGACAGTTATGGCAGAGCCTTGAAATCCTGAGTTTTACTAAAGCAAATTCCAATCAGACTGTGCATTAACATTTGAGAGGCGAGACCTCCCCAGTGCTGCACCAGGTGTATAACCAAGTGCCAGCAGAAAAAGGAATCAATATCAAAAAGAATGTCTGGTGTTTTGATATTTGTAGAGGAAACATGCATGAAAAATGGATCAAGGCACTCAGGGGTAGACCTGTTCTCTGTATTAATAAGTTGTAGTGTGTGTTATGCTCAGCCAGGCTGGCTGGCCGATACTTTTGGAATAGGTACAGTACAGGCCAAAAGTTTGGACACACCTTCTCATTCAATGCGTTTTCTTTATTATCATGACTATTTACATTGTAGATTCTCACTGAAGGCATCAAAACTATGAATGAACACATGTGGAGTTATGTACTTAACAAAAAAAGGTGAAATAACTGAAAACATGTTTTATATTCTAGTTTCTTCAAAATAGCCACCCTTTGCTCTGATTACTGCTTTGCACACTCTTGGCATTCTCTCCATGAGCTTCAAGAGGTAGTCACCTGAAATGGTTTCCACTTCACAGGTGTGCCTTATCAGGGTTAATTAGTGGAATTTCTTGCTTTATCAATGGGGTTGGGACCATCAGTTGTGTTGTGCAGAAGTCAGGTTAATACACAGCCGACAGCCCTATTGGACAACTGTTAAAATTCATATTATGGCAAGAACCAATCAGCTAACTAAAGAAAAACCAGTGGCCATCATTACTTTAAGAAATGAAGGTCAGTCAGTCCGGAAAATTGCAAAAACTTTAAATGTGTCCCCAAGTGGAGTCGCAAAAACCATCAAGCGCTACAACGAAACTGGCACACATGAGGACGAACCCAGGAAAGGAAGACCAAGAGTCACCTCTGCTTCTGAGGATAAGTTCATCCGAGTCACCAGCCTCAGAAATCGCAAGTTAACAGCAGCTCAGATCAGAGACCAGATGAATGCCACACAGAGTTCTAGCAGCAGACCCATCTCTAGAACAACTGTTAAGAGGAGACTGCGCCAATCAGGCCTTCATGGTCAAATAGCTGCTAGGAAACCACTGCTAAGGAGAGGCAACAAGCAGAAGAGATTTCTTTGGGCCAAGAAACACAAAGAATGGACATTAGACCAGTGGAAATCTGTGCTTTGGTCTGATGAGTCCAAATTTGAGATCTTTGGTTCCAACCGCCGTGTCTTTGTCAGACGCAGAAAAGGTGAACGGATGGATTCCACATGCCTGGTTCCCACTGTGAAGCATGGAGGAGGAGGTGTGATGGTGTGGGGGTGTTTTGCTGGTGACACTGTTGGGGATCTATTCAAAATTGAAGGCACACTGAACCAGCATGGCTACCACAGCATCCTGCAGCGACATGCCATCCCATCCGGTTTGCGTTTAGTTGGACGATCATTTATTTTTCAACAGGACAATGACCCCAAACACACCTCCAGGCTGTGTAAGGGCTATTTGACCAAGAAGGAGAGTGATGGAGTGCTGCGGCAGATGACCTGGCCTCCACAGTCACCGGACCTGAACCCAATCTAGATGGTTTGGGGTGAGCTGGACCGCAGAGTGAAGGCAAAGGGGCCAACAAGTGCTAAACACCTCTGGGAACTCCTTCAAGACTGTTGGAAAACCATTTCAGGTGACTACCTCTTGAAGCTCATGGAGAGAATGCCAAGAGTGTGCAAAGCAGTAATCAGAGCAAAGGGTGGCTATTTTGAAGAAACTAGAATATAAAACATGTTTTCAGTTATTTCACCTTTTTTTGTTAAGTACATAACTCCACATGTGTTCATTCATAGTTTTGATGCCTTCAGTGAGAATCTACAATGTAAATAGTCATGAAAATAAAGAAAACGCATTGAATGAGAAGGTGTGTCCAAACTTTTGGCCTGTACTGTATATGACCTGGGTATTATGGTTAATTCATAGCCTTCTCTTTGCAGGCTCTCTTATAAGTATGTTTACTGCGTGTGTGTTTATTTTCCTCTCTGTATGCTTGTGTGTGTGTGTGTGTGTGTGTGCGCGCACCAGATATGAACACAACCAGTGGGAAAACAGTACAGTACACCCAGCCTAGACTTGCCTAGCCTTGGCTCGATGAGAAGAACTGCAGGTGTGGTATCTATAGAGCTGGAGTCAGCAGGTTAAAAGCGCACCTGTGCCCTGACCTAGTCATGTTCACATTACAGAGCAGACAGCCTCGACTACAATCAGCCACAAAAACATAACCTGCTGCCCCTGGATATGGTCCGCTGGCCAAACAGAACTTGCATCCAGCCTGTTAATCATCATTTTTTTTATATACTTTATCTACATGATCCCACCCACCAGGTTCACAGGAATAAAAATGTGATGGGATGTCCATTCACTATGAAGCCTGAAAATAAATACCTCTAATGTCTTGTGGAGCTGATTTATCAGCAGTTACTTACTAAATAATTACAATTACGTGGTGCAGATCCTTTAAAGTCAGTAATTTACTGTAATCTAAATTGTGTATACCAGTATTTTCTTTTCATTCTCTCTCTCTCTCAGGTAGGTTTGTGAGCTCTGCTATTGGGAAGGTTGCGGTGAACTGCATCTCTGCACAGACTGAACTGTTGTGACATGCTTGAAGTAGCTGCCTACTGAGCTGACAGAGGGTGTTACATACAGATAAGTACAGAGGCTCTGGTGCAGACCCACATTAGTACAAATGACCTATATGAGTTCACACATTAAAATGCACACATGCATATGCACAGTGCACACACACATACACACACAGGCTGCTTGTTTATCCTATGTAATAGCCTGGTGATGAGTGTGTCATGTGTGAAATAGGTCATGTTTGTGACTGGTTGTGAGAGTGTCTGGATTAAATAAAGTCAAGCACTCCTAAAGTCCCTATGGACCTGGAGGCTGGCCAGGCTCAACACTCGCACAGATGCATCGCTAACATCTGCTTCACTGACCCCACCTTTCTTTGTCTGAGAATGTTCTTATGTGTATGCAAATCTTTAAATTCATACACTGTTTGCGACAGTTATACTTGCTGCAGTAGAGTGCAGGTAAGCGTGTGTATGTATGTGACAGAGAGCTGGGGCATTTTTGCAATAACCACAAAAGAAATGGCAAACAAAAGAAAATAATGGACTTTTTTTCCTGGTGTGTCCGAGTGACATGTCAGAGCGAGAGGCAAACAGACAGCTCAGAATTCAATCTTAGGTGATGTGAGGATGCATCAGTTTAAAACACAGCAGCAGATAATGGAAGAAAATAAAATGCCTCATGAGACTGACTGCTCTGCCCGGGCCAAACTGACAGAAACATGGAACATATATGACATTACAACTGCACAATTCAGCTTGTTTCAACAGCCTGTCTACTGGCAGTCCAAGTGCAACATTTCATACACAATAGATCGAGTCATTTAGGGAATACATTTCCTCTTTTCGCAGACCTATAAAGACACCACCGCCTGAGCTAAACTAGCCTTATAGTGCGGCAGTCCAGTTACTGAGCACTCAGACAGCCAGTCTCCCAGTTCACCCTGAGGCCTGGTGTCTGGTGCGCATGTCCAGTCACATACCACTGTCTCGAGGCCCAGGGCTGT